TGAAGATCTTGCTGAGGTCAAAGGCTTTTCCCACATGCTGGAATGCTGTCTTAGAGGACAGGTACTTTGGAACTAGCGTGTGGGTTGCTTTGTCACCAGGTGTCAGTCTTTCCATGTCTGACTTCTAGCCTTTCTGTCAGTCTGGGCTCAATAAAGAGGTATTTCTGGCCCCAGAAGACCAGAACTTCAACAAAGAGCAGCTGTTGTGTTTTCCTTTGTGATGGTGCTAGCACAGGCATCTTTCCATGACTTGTGTGCTAGCTGGACATTTCAGCGATAAGGTTTCAGTTTAAGGTTTGGTTGAGCTCTCCTGAGAAGTAATACTCAACATACCCAATTAATATGTGCCCCTGGATATAGGATTTTCATAGAGAAGGGACTTCTTGAACTTTGTACTCTTCAATGTGGTCTTTTATTTACTTACTTATTTTAAAGATTTTATTTATTTATTTGACAGAGAGAGACACAGCGAGAGAGGGAACAGAAGCAGGGGGAGTGGGAGAGGGAGAAGCAGGCTTCCCGCCGAGCAGGGAGCCCAATGCGGGACTTGATCCCAGGACCCCGGGATCATGACCTGAGCCAAAGGCAGACGCTTAACCGACTGAGCCACCTAGGCCCCTGACTGTGGTCTTTTAATTTTTAAGACCAATATGAAATCACAATGACTTGAAAGGTTGTTTGGTTGGAACACTAGTAGGTAATTTTGGACCCTAGACTTTTAATTTCAGGTCCTGGAACTCTGGTATAGAGACGTGAAATAGAGAGGGGAAGCCAGGATACTGCTACTGCTACCATTCTGAGGAAGCAAGAGAATCGAAGACAAGTTTTGTTACTTATTCATTCACACGCACATATACACACACACATTATTAGGCCAGTCCTATGAGTACTTATAATGGAGGAAACTTAGTTTTTTCACTTTTTGATGGTTAACTTTATTTTCTTTGCTAACCATCTTTTTTAGACCTCATCTTGAACTATTAGTTCTAGGCTCTTGCATCACGACTAAACTTAAATTTTGTGGACTAGTAAGAAAACCTAAACTGCATGTATAATATTATTTCTAAGGGAATTACATTCTGATTTATAAACAACTGGCTTTATTTAAAAAGTAGAGTATATCTAGTCATGTGATTTAGAGCCTCTAGTTGATTTTGTCTCCTCCCCACTGCCCCGATTTTTTTTTTTTTTTAAGCAAGAGTGTTCTCACTTTGCTCAGAATTTAGGCTCAAGGTAGTTAGCCCCTGAATTAGCTGTCTGAGCTTCTAAAGTAGTAACTTAATCTCATTTTGATAAGTGAGATAAATCTGTACTTCTGTGCATCAAGATCAAGGTACCGAACTGATCTTGGACACGAAGATTGGGGTTGTTTTCCTATCCTCTCAGGAGTGAGATATAATCTGGTGTGTTATTTGCATGTATGTATGCGTAAGAGAAAGAATTTTTCTGGTGGTATTGGAAGAAATTAGGGAAGATAGTTGCTAGGCTTAAATCCCATGGGTCAAGGATTGGCCTTTTGTTTTTGATTTTCTTTTAAAGATTATTAGTGTCTGAAATTTTATGTAATGAAACTGGAGTTGTCTTTATTTTTCATAAATCTCCTAAAATGTTTTGGGAAATGTGAACTAGTTTACAGGATGATATTTTAAATTTGTGTTTTGATAATCTTAGTAGAATTACCTCTTGTTTTTGTAAAAAAAATGGACCTCAAAATTAAAAGATGAATCCTTTTTTCTTATCTGCTTTTTCTTACTCTTTTCTCTTTGACTAAAATTTTCTTTTTCTGTATTTGTTTTTGGGAATCTGACCCCTTTTAACTGTTACCTTTTTGGAAAAGAAAGCCAGCTTTACTGACTTCCCTGAGGTAGTAATTTCTCTTTTGTTTATTTGTGCTATTCTTATAGTGTCTATCATGTTCTGTTGTGTGACTCCACATTATTGAGGGCCTAATCAGTGTATATATTAATACAAAGAGACAGAGCTCCTTCCTCGTTTCACTATCTAATCGTCCCACATTTCTTCCATTTTTATCTTTCCATTACCTGTATATTCAGCCCTTTCATCAATCAAACAGATGGAGATTTTATTTTAGTCCCTTATTATACTTAGTGATATTGCAAATATTTTTTATTCATTTCTTCTATATGTTTGTAATGTGTTTACAGTTGTGCCTATACTTTTCCTTCTGTAAAAGTATAAGTAAAACATATCTATAAAATATTTTTATATAATTAATATAATCCCGTGGGATTTTTTGATCTGTACGTTAGATAGAAGTATACATAACCTCCTACCTCTTTTGTCACAATGAAATACCAATTATAACTTTTATTTTTACATTTTAACATCTCTGAATCTAGGATACATGTGTAAATAATGGCATGGCTTAGTTTAATTAGTATTTTTTTTTCATCTTAGTGATACATAAAGTAATGGTGCATCTTCTGTCCTTGGTGAATAGATATTAAAGATGCATGCAAAGAGAGTGCATAAAATTGTTTCAGAGAATGTGGAAGTGGAAGAAAGTATTTCCAAATTAACTTTATTTTCTAAGGTACCCCATTTTAAATGTGTGTGTAACCAAATGAATATATTTACTATTATAATTAGATAGTTGACTGTTTTACCTACTTCCTGTTTTTTATGTAGGTAGACTTAAAAAAAATTTTTTGGACCATTTTATTGGGAAAATGGGCTTTATGTTTATGATTGCTTCATATTGGTATCACAGTATATTTAGCCATCTACACAGTATAAGCTAAAAATGTACCTACATATTTAGTCTTCATATTTATAATTTTTTTTAAAGAAATGCCAAATTGATACTCAATTTAAGGTCTTAAGATATCTTCTGTCTAAAAATTAGTATTAAGCTATATATAGCTTTGGCATAAACTAGTATACATTTCATGAGGAAAATGGTTCCATTCAGAAGAATTTCCTTACTTTTAAATTCATGGTTATGTATCTTTGACCCATGAAGTTCAGTGTCGGAAAATGTGGTCTTCATGTAGTTTGAGTAGAAGAGAAGTGACTACTGCTGCAGGGGTTGCGTGTTCTTGCTTGAGGGAGAATGGGCTGTGTTTGGGGAAAAAAAAAGAAAGAAAGATACTAAGAGTATGATAACTGAAAATGACTGGTTCTTTATCTGATCCTGCTTGCTTCAGCTTGCTTTCTGGGGTAGCTGCTTGTTTCTTTCTTCCTCCTTGATGAATTTCACTGATTTCATTTAAAAAAAAAAAAAGAAATTAAACAGCTTTGCGTAATCAATTCTGTTAGGTCATCTTGCCAAAATTTCTTGTGGGCACAGCACCTTGTAATTTACTAGTACAGTCTTTATAGGAAATTTTGTTTAGTGGTTACCTTAAGTTTTTACATAAAGGGGCAAACATTAGAATTCTATAGAATTTTTCTATATGCAGACTTTTTTCTTCCATATTAATTTCCCAAGAACTATAGTTTGATGCCAAAGTGAAATAGGACTCATGAACAATGAAATAGGTAAAAAGTTGCTCACTGTTGATAGGAGTAAGCTTAATTTTTTCCCCCACAGATTTACCTTACCCAGGTCTTATTTAAAGCCATGCAACCATAAGAAATTTCAGTTAGTGTCATTGTTGACCTAAAATTTTTCTAATTTATTGTGTCATAACCAACAAAGATAGAAAAGATAATTGGGAACAGTCATTTAGAGATTGGCCTATTTTTGCATTTGAACATTGTCTGCATTCTCTACTGTGTTAAATATGCCAAAGATGCATGGATTTATTTTATACATTCCCTTTAGGAATCTGTAAGCATCACAGAACACATAAAATATGCCCAGGGAGATGTCAACAGACCCACATTTTTATCCTGTATCTGCCACTTACACACTGTGTGATTGTGAGGAAGTCACTTTTATTCTCTGTTTTTCATTTCTCTTTATCTTACAGAGTGGGAATGATAAATTTTGTCATCCTTACCTTTCATTATTTGCACAATGACTTTTAAAAACCCTGGTTTTAAATACTGGAACATTAAAAAACATTAAAATACAAATTGAAATGGTGCTTGCATTCAAGAAATAAACCTTTTGTTTTAGATTCTGAAAGTAAAATTTAGATCCTGAAGACAATCTGGATGGCACTGGCCATTAGAAGTCTTAAGTATTTGGGGATAATACTAACTTCAGTGAAATTGATTAATTTTTAAAAAGGAAAAACTGCCTGTTATAAAAAGCAATAATGAACTACTGGGGCTTCATGCTATGTAGGAATATTGAGCATGGCAAATCTTTGCATCTCTAACTGCTGAGCAGTATTAGAAATGGAGTGATGTTTATAGAGCTGTATATTCTTGTTCATTATTGCTTTTAGATTGCACCATTTGAGGTAGATTTTGGTAGATTTGGAATGAGAAAAAATTTAGGTTCTAATTAGGAAAAAGTTATTGTTTTCACATTTGGGGCCATTATTTCAAGTTCTTCCTCATCAATTAGAATTCTGTATTCCAGAGAATGTTTGAAGCTCTCGATGTTTTTCTGCTTTTGTTATGGATAACTTGGATCTAAGAAATGGAGTGTGGGGGGTGGGTAAAGGAGTAGTCAGTTATAAGGTGGGTATATATAAAATTAAGGTGATTTAAGTTGTGAAATCACAGCTACTTAAATGAAAAGGGGGAGGTGCTGACCTTCTTTTCTTTTCCTTTGTGTTTAATAAATTGTTTTTTCCCTCTGTTTCAAGAAATGGTAAATTTTAGACAAAAATTTTCCTTGAAACTTACATTAAGGTACAATGGTGTAATCTAATATGAAAACACACTTGTTGAGAGTTGAAAATCTGAAATTACTAATTTTTAGTGCCTGTGCAAAATCTGTGTTACCCCTTTCCCTTCTCTAATCCTGTGCTTTTATGTTTTGTCTGTGTCTATGAATAACATTGTTTCCTGAATATTGTCCTTACTAATTCTTTCTGACTTTCTCTTTCACGTTTTCTTCCTGGATTTGCTGTTGTCTTCAGTCTCACCTCAAGGTCAGTATGCTTGTACTAAAACAAAGAGAAGAGCATGGTGGTGTACTAACATTATCTTGAACTCTAATGAGGAACTGAAATGATAGCCCTTGCTCCAGGAAAGATATGTGTAGAAATCTAGTTATGAGTGCATAAAATGTCAGAAGTTTTAGGTTTACCAGAAGAGTGGATTCAAAGTTCTATGCTTCAAAAGATAAAGTAGTCAGAAAGCAAGAATCAGACCGAGCAGGTTTTGACTGAGAGCGAAATGAAGATGAAAGGAGTCACCAGGGGAATGAGAAGAAAAATTGTTTTAATTTAATTAAAATTTCATCAGAGACATAGAAAATGCAGCATGAACGTTGGAGGGAAATTTGCTGTAGTCTGTGGATTTTTAGAAGAATCTTGAAATTATTTTACATGTACAAACCTATACACCCTTGAAATTTTGGTTTTGTTTTGTGATTCTGCTGAATGGTACAAGTGATAACCAAAACAGCCAGCGCTGCTTGGATTTATAAGTGCCCGAGGCACTATGGTAGAACCTTTACATCTTTTATTTCAGTTGATCGTCCCAGCAGTATGTAGAGAGATTTATTATTTCCACTCTTTAGATGAATAACACAAGTTCTGAGCCCATTAAGTAATTTGTCCATCTTTATTGGGAAGAGAAACTAACAGCACAATTGGAAACCTGAATTTTTTTTTTAAAGAGGGAGGGGGAGGGGCAGAGGGAGAGAGAGAGAATCCCAAGGAGGTTCCACACTCAGTGTGGAGCCCAATGTTGGTTTCAATCTCACAACCCTGAGATCATGACCTGAGTTGAAATCAAGAGTCACACGCCTAACTGGCTGAGCCACCCAGGCACCCCTGAAACCTGAATTTTAGAAGTTATTTCTTTTGCATGTGAGCATGGAAATGTAAATGAAGGCATGAGAATTTCTGATACGGTTCCAAAAATGATATGGTTAACACCCTATGCACTTTACCTTCGCTGCTGTTTTCTAATAGTAATGGCACCATATATATTACTGTTTATAAAAGCACTTGTCTTCTTTGAGTCTCACAGTTGGTGTATGGGTTACACAGGACAGATTATCATTCTGATGAGGAACAAAGATTAGGAACATGATTTCTCTAGGGTCAACCAACTAGTAAGTGGTGGAACTTAGATTTGAAGGTAGATCTTCTCATTTCAACCTCAGGACTTTATGTATTTTCTGTACTCTATCATCAGATTTAGAGTATGAGCTATAGAGTCCCAGATGGCTTGAATTTTTTAGGTAGATTTTTCATCTGTGGTGTTTTCATCTGTAAAATTGGGGTAATTATCTGATCTAAAGGGTTGTTGTAAACACTGAATGAGTTCATATAAATAGCACTTAGAACAGTATCTGGTACAGGGTAAACAATCAATATATAGAGCTATTATGATACTACTTTTTGCCTTTTTCATGGAGTCCTGTTTGATCCGGCAAATGATAGCATGATGTGATATATTTCAGGTTCTTTAAAATAATATACAGTTCTTATTCTTACCACTGTTAATAGAAAGTGCAAAGTAGAATCCCAGTGCAAAAGCTGTGTATGTGTAGAAAATGTGAAAAGTAGACATATTTCTTCTGTAATGATATTTTAAGACTCTACTTTTCAGGTGCTCTATTTCTATTATAAGTAGAAAGATAAGGTGGTGAGGCGTTTTAGGAAAAAGGTTCTCTTTCCCATTTCTATTTCCTGGTATTTCTTCTCATTGTTTAAATTGATGACCTAAATGATATTTCTGAAAAAGGCCCCTTACTTTTACTCATTTAAGAATAAAGCAATTTGGGTGTAAAATACAGTAAAAAGCAAAATTAGTCCTTCTTTCATACTTATACCGATCTAATTTATGAAGAGGCGTCTTCGGTCAGATTTACGCTGTCCTCTTCCTTCTCTCTCAGCAGATGACCTCCCCTCCTTTGCCTGGTAAATAGAGCTTTAGGGTACCCACAGTCCTGGGTTTAGGTTTTCACTCATGTTAACCTTCCTTTTGTTTCGGTGGAACTCATGTTCCAACTCTTTTCCGAGGCCAAATTTTCCTATTCTCTTTTCTTTGGTGTTGGTTGTGATCTCTCCTCTTTCATTCATGATTTTGTTGATTTGGGTCCTTTTTCTTTTCTTTTTGATAAGTCTGGCCAGGGGTTTATCAATCTTATTAATTCTTTCAAAGAACCAGCTCCTAGTTTCGTTGATCTGTTCTACTGTTCT